AAAGAAAGAGAAAGAGATACAGAGAGAAAGAGAGAGAGGGGGAGAGACGGAGAGAGATAGAGATAGAGAGAGAGACTCACAGACAGACAGACGGAGAGAAACAGATACAGAACCAAAGAGAAACAGAGACAGAGACAAAGAGGTAATAAGACAATTGCATGTGTATATACATTTAATTATACATATGTGTGAGTGTGTCTTTGTATCTGTGTGATTGTGAGTTGATATATTCCTTTATCTATTTGTGCATTCATTCGTTCACCCATCCATTCATCTATCCAAATCACCCATCCATTCACTCATCCTATTCACCCATCCATTCATCCATTTCCCATCCAATCATCCACTCATTCATTCAAGCCACCCATCCATTCATCCATTTACCCATCCATTATCCATTCACTCATCCATTCACTCTTCCAATTCACCCATCCATTCATTCATTCACTCATCCATTTCACCCATCCATTCATTCATTCAAATCCATCCATTCACTCATCCAATACACCCATCCATCCATTTCACTAATCCATTTATCCAAATTATCCATCCATCCATCCATCCATTCACCAATCCACTCACCCAAATCCCCCACCATTCATTCATCCAAATCACTCATCCATTCATTTATATATTCATCCGTCCACCCATCCATTCACCAATCCACTCACCCAACTCATTCAAATTACCCATCCATTTCACCCATCCACTCCTTCATCTAATTCACCCATCCATTCATCCACTCACCCAGACCCCCACCCCCACCCCCACCCCCACCACGCCCACCCACCCACCCATTCTTTCATCCACCCATTCTTTCATCCACCTCCCCCACCCCACCCACCCACCCACCCCATTCTTTCATCCACCTCCCCCACCCCACCCACCCACCCACCCATTCTTTTATCCACCTCCCCCCCACCCCCACCCACCCATCCATTCATCCACTCACCCAGACCCCCCCACCCCACCCACCCACCCACCCACCCATTCTTTCATCCACCTCTCTCCCCTTTCGCAGGACCCTCAAATCCCTGTGGAGGCGCCGGGGCTGAACCGTGACAAGGTGGCGGTGTACGCAGACACGCACCACCAGGGGATCATGGACGTCTGCAAGCTCTTCGGGGTGCACTTGGTGGTGGCGCAACAACCCGGAAATTCGTCCGCCATTCGGATTCGCAACAAGTTCCAGAGGATTCTTGGTGTGTGGTTGTTTGGTTGTTGTTGTTGTTGTTGGTGTTGGTTGTTGTTGTTGGTTGTGTTGTTGTTGTGCTTTACCTTATTTTATCTTGTTGGGGACAAGATGAATGAGTAGTGTTGATGAGTTTTTTGTTTTCTCTTTTTTTTTCTTCTTTTCTTTTTTTCTTTTTTTGGGGGATTGATTTGGGTTTGATTTATTCATCTGATATTGTATTCTTTTAATGTTGCTTGTTTATACTTGTTTATGAGATGTAGAAGGACGTGCACTTCTTTCTTTCTCTTTACCTCTCTGTCAACATTTTTACCGTTCACTTCATTTGGTTTATTATTCTTTAATTGTTAGCTTGCCTTTCACCCACAAAGACTCGATTTTCATCCTTAACAGCTATTAAGAATTGATTTATCTTTTGCCTGTCATTTCGCATCTTAATCTCTTATTTTACTCTTGTTCCCCATTCATCTCCAGAGAAATTTAGAAACAAGCTTTCCTTTTCTATTTTCAGTCATTTTCCCATAACGGTAAACAGATATCGATTACCTTTTGTCTCTCCTTTCGCATTTCATTTCTTATTTTATTTCGGTTTCCCTTCATTTCCAGGGAAGATTAAAGACATCTAGCATATCTGTCATTCCCTCATTTAATATTTTCAATTCGAGAAAGACTAGCTAACGTTTGCCTCTAATTTTGCATTTTGATTAATTATTTTACCTCAGTTTCCCCTCATTCAATGAGAAGAGAAAAAAAAAAATCCTTTTTCTTATTTGAAACATGTTGATCACCTACTTTATTTACTAACTTCATTATCATTCCTCCTCAACGACAAACAAAAACCGATTACCTGTTGTCTCTCAATTCGCATTCTCATTACTTAATTTACTTCCGTTTCCCCTCATATCCAGGGAAAATTAGAGAAATTAATTTAACATTTTCATCATCATTACTATAAACCGAGAAAGACCGCCTACCCATTTGCCTCTCATTTCGTCTTTTGATTACTCATTTTACTTCCGTTTCCCCTCAAATCCAGGGACCTGTTTATGGCCAAATTCCCCGAAGGAACAGTCCCCCAGAAGACACGTCGAAGGATGCTGTCCCTCCCTTTGCCTGTACGAGCATCTTAATTCTCGAGGACGACATCGAAGTCTCTGTGGACATCTTCAAGTGAGTGCTGTGTGTGCTTGTGGGTTGTGGGGAAGAATAGGGGTGAGGAGGAGGTTAGGTGAGTAGGGAGGAGGATAGGTGGATGGGGAGGAATAGTTAGGGAGGGGATAGGTGGATGGGAGGAATAGTTAGGGAGGA